TTGGCTTTATCTTCTCGAGCTGATCTTTGAAATTTTCTGTTCAGCTCTTGGACCTCCTCATTTCTTCCATTTGCTTTAGCATCTCTACGCTGGAGAGTGTCTCTTCTGACACCCATTTTGACCATTTCCTTCTTTCTTGTCTTCTTAATGACTTTTTGGCTTCTTCATGTATGATGTTCTTGATGTCATCCCACAACTCTTCTGGCTTTTGATCTTTACAGAAATGATTATGGAGAACGCATAATAGAATTCTGCAAAACCAATGATTTGTTCATTTCAAATACCTTTTTTAGACAGCATGAGATGACTGTATACATGGATCTCACCAGATGGACTACATAGAAATCAAATTGACTACATCTGTAGAAAGAGACGATGGAAAAGCTCCATATCATCAGTCAAAACAAGGCCAGGGGCAGACTGTGGAAAAGACCATTAATTACTCATATGCAAATGGAAACTGAAGCTGAAGAAAATGAAAACAAGTCCACGAGAGCCAACATATGACCTTGAATTCAGTTAATTAGGTCAGTCTTAATGTACTGACCAAATTCTATTTTTTAACTGGGAAAGTTATTTCATTTCATGGAGAAGGCTCTGGATGCTGACATGGAATTCTTTCTGAATCATAATTATGTATACACTAAAGCTTTGCTGAAGAAATCATTCCGTACTTTTCAAACTTCAAATCCCAAAATTCCTCTTATTTAATGGTAACAACTCATGAAAAAACATGCCACACAGCATAAAACAGGCTACATAAAGTCCATCCAAAAGGTACAGGAGAATAAAAGATTTGCTTTGACAGGAATTCTTGAACTAGCATGTATAATAAAAAATAAAGACTATGATTACAGACTACATACCTCACTTTTTATATTTTATGCTAAGAAATCAATGTAGCATTATAATAAATTACAGGAGGAGCTCCTTACCTGCATTGTTGCTATTTTCTTTGACGTAGTAGCCTTTTAATCCCAAATTGCACAATTTTCGATCCCTGTGAAACATATTAAGCAGTCCATGTTGAAATAAATAAGTTCAACTTGTGAACATCAATACAAATGTTCCTTAGAAAAGCAAACCGCTAATAAATTCTCCTAACCTATGTGTGGTGTGTTGCTATGGGTTAATGCACTGGACTGCGAGGTCAGTTTGAATCACTAGGCTGGCAGTTTAAGTTCACCACCTACTCCTCGGAAACGCTATACAGGGTATTTCTCTATGAGTCGGAATTGACACCATGGCACTTAACAACAACATAATACACACATAATATTATATATCTCAAAAGAGTTGTTTTAAGGATTTATGTTGCTGTTGTGAAGTGCTGTAGAGTCGGTTCCAATTCATAGTGACCCTGATAAGGTTTCTGAGGAACACCTGGTGAGTCTGCATCACCAACTAGGCAGTTTGAACAGACCTTGCGGTTCAGTACTTATCCTACAATGCCACACCACAGCTTCATAACATAAATAAAATATTTAAAATAGTGCCTAACTTGGTGGTGGTGTTAAGTGATATCGCGTCGTTTCTGACTCATAGCAGCCCCATATAGGATTTCGGAGAAGCAGATGGTGAGTTTGAATCCCTGACCTTGAAGGTACAACCCACCTTAAAATCTGGGCCTTATCCTACAGCACCACACGGACACTCCTGCCTGACATGATAAGCATTTAAAACTAGAACTATTGTTGTTAGGTGCTGTTGAGTTCGTCCCAACTCATAGTCACACACAACAAAAACACCACTGCCTGGTCCTGTGCTACCATTATAAGTGCTATTGTGTTTGAGCTCATAATTATTTGTTGTTGTTTAGTGCTATCAAGTCACCTCCGACTCAAAGCAATCCTGTGCGCAATAGAATGAAACACTGCCCAGGTCCCACACCATCCTCACAATTGTTATGTTTGAGCCCATTATTGCTATAACTGTGTCAAGCTATCTTAGTGGAGTGTTCTTCCTTTTCACTGATGCTTGATTTTCCAAAGCATGATGTCCTTCTTCAGGGACTGGTCCCTCCTGATAACATGTCCAACGTATGAGTGATGCAGTCTTACCATTCTGAACTCTAAAGAGCATTCTGGCTATAGTTCGATATTCTTCCCCAACACCATAACTCAATTGCATCAATTCTTCTACAGTCTTCCTTACTTATTCTTTGGAATATAACGTTTAGGACCTTCATTTGCTGATAGACCACAACTCAAAATGAGGAGAAACAGCTGCAAACATTCATTAGTAATCAGAACATGGAATGTATGAAGTATGAATCTGGGAAACTGGAAGTTATCAAAAATAAAATGAAACACACAATTGATACCGTGAGCATTAGTGAGGTGAAATGGACCAGTATTGGCCATTCGGAATCAGAGAATCATATATTGAACTATGCTTGAAACATAAAATGGAAGAGGAACGGTATCACATTCATCATCTAGAGGAATGGTATCACATTCATCATCTAAAAAGAACACTTCAAGATCTATCTTGAAGTACAAAGCTGTCTGTGATAGGATAATATCCATACTTCTATAGGGAACATCGGGACTCCTGGTGTGGCGTTGTAGGATCAGCACTGGAGTGCGAACCACAAGGTTGGCAGTTCAAACCCACCGGCTGCTCCTTGGAAATTCTGTTCTTTGAGCTGGGTTGCTATGAGTCAGAACTGACTCAAATGCACTTAAAAACAACAATAACAAAGACCAGTTAGCATTTCTATTATACAAATTTACACATCTCAGAGTCCTGGTGTGGCGCTGTGGGTTAATGTGCCAGAGTGCAAAGCCATTTGAACTGCAAAGTCTGCAGTTCAAGCTCACCAGCTACTCCTCGGAAACCTTATACAGGGTCGCTATGGGTCGGAAATCAACTCGACGGCACTTAAAACAACAACAACAAAGCCAGTGATGATGAAATTGAAGAATTCTATTAACTTTTCAGTCTAAAATTGATCAAACATGCAATCAAGATGTATTGAAAATTACTGGTGATTGGAATGTGACAGTAGGAAATAAAGAGAAAGGATCTGAAGTTAGAAAATATGGCCCAGTGATAGAAATAATGCTGGATATCATGTTAGAATTTTGCAAGATCAATGACTTCTTCAATACAATTATCTTTTTAAAATAGCATACACATGGACCTCACCAGATGGACTACATAGGAATCAAACTGGTGACATCTGTTGGAAGGGACGGTGGAAAAGCTCCATATCATTAAACAAAACAATGCCAGAAGCAAACTGCAAATCATTCATATGCAAGTTCAGGCTGAAGCTTAAGAAAATTAAAGCAAGGCTTGTTGTTGTTGTTGTTAAGTGCCATCGAGTCGGGTCCGACCCATAGCGACCCTGTACAGGGTTTCCGAGGGTGTAAATCTTTACGGGAGTAGAAAGCCTTATCTTTCTCCCGCGGAGCGGCTGGTAGTTTCGAACCGCTGACCTTAAGGTTCGCAGCCCGATTCGTAACCACTACACTACCAGAGCTCCTTAAAGCAAGGCTAGGAGATTCAAAATATGACTCTAAACACACCCCACCCTAATTTAGTAACCATTACAAGAACAGATTTGATACATTAGATACTAATGACCAAAGGCCAAATGAGTTGTGGGAAGACATCAAGAACGTCATACAGGAAGAAAGCAAAGGCCTTTAAAAAGACGGGAAAGAAAGAAAAGACCAAAATTGATGTTAGAAGAGACTCTGAAACTTGCTCTCCAGTGTAGAGTTGCTAACGCAACTGGAAGAAATGAGCAAGTCAGAGACATAAATAGAAAATTTCAATTGGCAACTTGAAAAGACAAGGAAGTATTATAATAAAATGTGCAAAGACCTAGAGTTAGGAAACCAAAAGGGAAGAATTGGCTTAACATTTCTCAAGCTCAAAGAGCAGAAGAAAAAAACGGAATCCTGGACTCGCAATATCGGTGTGGCACTGTAGTATAAGCACTGGACCTCAAGGTCAATTTGAACCACAAGGTCGACAGTTCGAACTCACCAGCTGCTACCTGGAAACCCTACACAGGATTGCTGTGAGTCGGAACTGATTCGATGGCACTTAACAACAACAACAATGGGCAAATCTCTGGATGCAAATAGTATCAAAAGAAGATGGAAAGAATACAGAGCCACTGTACCAAAAAGAAATGGTCGATGTTCAACCATTTCTACAGATTTCGAAGGAAGAAATCCACTGGGATGAAACAAGGCTCCAGAAATTCACAGAACACAAACTGAAATCTTTCAACAAACTGATACAGCACCAGAAGTGCTCACTCATCGAAGCAAAGAAATTTGGAAGGCAACTACTTGAACAACAGAATGGCAGAGATATATATTTAAACCCATACCAAAGAGAGGTGACTCGATGGAATGTGGAAATCATCTAATAATATCATTATCATCACATGAAAGAAATATTTTACGGAAAACAATTGAAAACAGCCGAAACAGTACATCACCAAAGAACTCCCAGAAATTCAAGCAGCACTGAGAAAAGGGCATGGAACTAGCGATATCATTGCTGATGTCAGATAAATCTTGGCTGAAAACAGAATACCAGAAAGATGTTTACTTGTGCTTTATTGATTATGCAAAGGCTTCTGACTATGTAGATCATGACAAGCTAGGGATACCATTGCGAAGCATAGATATTCCAGAACTGTGCTTGTAAGGAACCTATACATAGAACAAAACAGAAACAAGGTTGTATCATCAGAACAAGGGGATAGGTAAATGGTTTACACACAGGAAAGATATGTGTTTTATTCTTTCACCATACCTATTCAATCAGTCCATTCCAAAGAGAGGTGACCCAATGGAATGCGGAATTCATCGGACAATCTCTTTGATATCCCATGCGAGTAAAGTTTTACTAAAGGTAATTCAGAAACGGCTGCAAGCATACATTGACAGAGAACTTCCAAAGGTTCAAGCCAGATTCAGAAGAGGCCGTGGAATGAGGGATATCACTGCTGATGTCCTATGAATTTTTGCTGAAAGCAGAGAATATCAGAAAGATGTTTACCTGTGCTTTGTTGACTACGCAAAGGCTTTCAATTGTGTGGATCATGACCAGCTATGGACAACATTGCGAAGTATGAGTATTCTGGAACACTTATTTGTGCTTATGCATAATCTGTACCTGGACCAAGAGGCAGTTGTTGAAACAGAACATGGGAACACTGAACGGTTTAAAATTAAGAAAGGTGTGCAACAAGGTTGTATTTCTTTCACCATACTTCTTCAACCTGTATGCTACGCAAATAATCCGAGAAGATGGATTCTATGAAGAAAAATGTGGCATCAGGATTGGAGGAAGACTCATTTAACAACCTGTGACATGCAGATGATACAACCTTACTTGCTGAAAGTGAAGAGGACCTAAAATATTTACTGATGAAGATCAAAGAACACAGCCTTTGTTATGGATTTCATCTCAATGTAAAGAAAGCAAAAATCCTCACCACTGGACCAAAAAAACAAAAATTCTTATCAAGGGATAAAAGAATGAAGTTGTCAAGGACTTAATTCTTCTTGGATCAACTATCAACACTCAAGGAAGCAGCAGTCATGAAATCAAAGGACATAATGCATTAGGCAAATCTGCTACACAAGACCTTTTTAAAAGTGTTGAAGAGCAAAAATGTTAGCTTGAGGACTGAAGTGCACCTGACCCAAACCATGGTATTTTCAATAATCTCATATGCATGCAAAAGCTGTACAGTGAATAAGGAAGACCATAGAAGAATTGATGCTTTTGAGTTATGGTTTGGAGGAGAATATTGAAAGTGTCATGGGCTGCCAAAAGATTCACTAGATCTGTTTTGGAAAAAGTGCAGCCAGAGTGCTCCTTGGAGGCCAAGACGGCCAAACTTCGTCTCTCATACTTTGGACATATTGTCAGGAGGGGCCAGTTGCTGAACATGGATATCAAGTTTGGTAGGGTGGAGGGACAGAGAAAGAGAGGAAGACCCCTCAGTGAGTTAGACTGGCCAAT